ATTTTTGGGGTATTTCATTAAAAAAAAGCCAACATTTCTTTGCAATAGTCGGTCAAAGTGTTTGACTAACGGAATTAGAAGAAAAAAACTAACGGCAGGGGGGTGTTTGATGTTTTCAATACTTCAGGGGGGTAAACGATACATTTATCATAGTACAGGGGTGCAAAATGAATTTTACCCTAGTTTTTTTAGGATTCATATAACCATTTCCAAACCCTCAATTTCAAATTTCAATCTCTTTCACTCAAACATCATTTATGAAGCCACTTTTATATTAATTGTTTTGCAAAAAACTTGTATCAATTAGATATCATGCCCAAAAATTGTCGCCATTATCACTAATTTTACAAAAAGAAGGGCAATCGTATAGAATTGACATTGTATTATATTCTGCAATTTGAATAAGCTTGGGTGCATCTAATTCATCATTTCCTTTTTAGAAACATATAGAATAAATTAATTAAACGATTTATTGATGCATGCATGGCTATTTTTGTTGATTCATTATAACCATGTACTATTCTAGATAACGTTTATGTTTTATTTTTCTTTCTTTATTATAGTGGTTGAAAGCTTTAACTAAAGAAATATTATAAACTTGGTTGAGATAATAATCTCAACATGTGAATAGTATAATATTTAATATAATAGTTTTATGGAATATATAAATTCACCGACTTCCAATAGAAAATAGTTAAAGTCTCAAACCACGATAGTGTTTTTAACAATGTTTTGAAAATATAATCAGACATTAACCCGGATAAGCTATTGCGTCACGGTTGGACCAGTTTAACGGGAGTCCAACCAATTTTTCCTTTTTTTTTTTTTTTAATTACTTATACACATTTTTTTTAAATAAAACATATTTTCTTTCACACATCCTAACTCAGTCATTACTCATTTCCAATTCAAATGTAAATCACTTTATTTTCTTTTAGACACAACATTGAAACTTACAAATTATAATAAGAAATAACATGTCTTCCAATTTATTTATTTTTATTTTGATTTAATTATTTTTTCAACTTGGTAGTAAAATGACGTCATTTGACCATTTTATTTGTTCATTTCATATATTAACAAAACACAATTTTGGGCAAAAAAAAAAAAAATTAGATACGGCCCAGGTTTCAGTACATTGGTTTTTAACCCTAAAATTATTAGTATCTTCCGTAACAAATAGAAATATAATCGACGTAAAACTCTGAAACTATATACTGAAGATATAATTGCAATTGATTTCAATCAAATTATAGTTGCATAGGGCCGTAGGACTCTCCTAGTTACGTAGTGAGAGAAAGAACTTACCCTACAACCATTCTAATTTGTAAACGGTGTTCTCTCTCTCTCTCTCTCTCTCTCTCTCTCTCTCTCTCTCTCTCTCCCCCCCTCTCTCCCTATATATATACACGGTGTTCTTCTTATATCTTCTCCACACGCACAAACGAGATCTCTCTCTCTCTCTACCACTTTTCTCTCTCTCTCTCTCCTTTTTCTCTTCCGCATCTGCAATTCTCGATTGGGTAAAATAAAAAAAGCTTTATTCCACGGTGAGATATAATACATCCGTTTTGCCCAATTGAGTACGTACGGAAATCATAATCTCCCCCCTTCCGGCGTTGATCATCGTCCCCACAAAACGACGTAAGTATCTATCTACCTTCTGCATACTTTTTTACAGCCATCTTTTTTTTTTTTTTTTTCCATGAAATATATAATTATGTGCGGAAGTTTCGGATCTATAGTTTTCTTCAGGATATCTGAATCGTAAGATAATATTATTATTATTATTATTATTATTATTATCAATATTATTGTGAATTGAAATATCAGTTATGTTTTTGTAAAACGCAGCGCGCAGAGAAGCATAAATGTTTTAATGGAGGCAAAATTTGGCAAGAAGAAATCGTCCAGTAGTAATCGGATCCATTACGAAGCCCCTCTTGATTACACCATCGAAGACGTTCGTCCCAACGGTGGCACCGAGAAATTCCGATCTGTTGCTTACTCCAACGTAATCTTTTTTTATCTTAATTTTTCTTTTTTCCTATATACATACATACATACATATATTCATATATCTGATTCTTCTTCTTTGTCAATTTTTTTTCTTCAATGGCTGCAGTGCGAGAGGAAGCCGTCCTGAGACGACTTGAATTCATCAGTAGAGCATATAATCCCGCAAAATATTTCCATTTTTTCTTATTTTATTTCTTCCTAATTTCTCTCCGATCCATCTCTTCAACTTTCATCAATGGCGGTTTCTGCAATTGGTTTCGAAGGCTTCGAGAAACGGCTTGAAATCGCATTCTCGGGCCCTCCAAACGGGCCGGGCCTTCGGGCCCTGACCCGTAACCAACTCGATTCAATACTCGAACTCGCCTGCTGCACCATCGTGTCACACCTATCCAACACCGAGTTCGACTCGTACGTTCTCTCCGAGTCGAGCCTATTCGTCTACCCGCTCAAAATCATCCTGAAAACGTGTGGGACCACCAAGCTTCTTCTGTCGGTCCCACAAATCCTAAAACTCGCCGATTCTCTCTCCCTTGTTTACCGATCGGTTCGCTACTCACGTGGCACTTTTATTTTTCAAAATACCCAACCTGCCCCTCACCGCAGCTTTTCCGAAGAAGCCGCTTTTCTGAACACGTATTTCGAAAACGGCAGCGGTTATTTACTCGGCGACCCGAGTTGCCCGAACCGGAACTGGCACGTCTACGTGGCGGCGGTCGACCCGGACCCGCTTAGGGGGTCCGATTATATGACTGGGGTGAATCTGGAGATGTGCATGACCGGCCTTGACCGGGAAAAGGCCGCCGTGTTTTTCAACTCCGGCGGCGGCGGCGGCGGTGGAAGAATGACGAAGATGTCGGGGATTGACGATATATTGCCGGGGCACGAGATATGTGATTTTGAATTTGAGCCGTGCGGGTACTCGATGAATGCGATAGAGGGTGCAGCGTACTCTACGGTGCACGTGACCCCAGAGGATGGGTTCAGCTACGCGAGCTACGAGGCGATGGGTTTGGAGCTAGGTTCGGTTGGGTTCGAGCCGCTGCTGAAGAGAGTGCTGAGGTGTTTCAAGCCGGAGGAGTTTAGTCTTGCTGTCACGTGCCAGAGAGGTGGTGGGCTGGAGAATATTTGGTTCGGCGACGTAGACGGTTACACGTGCGAGAATGCGGTTGTGCAGCCGCTGCCGGGTGGCGGATGGGTGGTCTACAGGTGTTTCGCGGCGGAGGAGAGGCGGTGCGTTGCTACGACTACGGCCAACTCGGCCATGCATTGCTGGAAGGAGGTGGCGGAGGAGGGGAGGCTGACGGCGGTCCGTTGTGTGGACTTCTTTTAGACCAAATTTGCTATGCAGTTTTTTATTTTTATTTTTTCCTGGTTTTATTAATTTTAATATTAAGTGGTGAATTTTGCTTTTCTTTCTTCTCGATTTGGAATGAAAACAGAAATTATAGTAAATTCGATCGATACTTTAGTGTTATGTGTTGGTTTGTTATATTTTATTATAAAGATATAATTTAATTGATCAAGTAAACACATATATTTGTAGGGCAAAGTTGATTATTTGATACATGATAGAATTCCATGTCATATTTCATTGAGGTCCATTATTTTAACATTCGTTTTCATATTGTTTAAAATATTATATTTTATAACTTAACAATGAATACCCTAACGGTTCAATCAATTGAACTACAATGAATTGGGTTTGAAACTTTGAAACAACCAAAAATATTTAACTCCAAACATTAAGAATTTAATATAAATCCACACTGATCACATTTGTATGCTTTCATTTATTTAAAGTGAAAGCACTCGTTTTGAAATTGTATTGAAATTCAAACTTTGGAAATAATTAGTGATACTTATGTTTTTTCGGGAAATTCTAGATTATAACCTAATATATTTTCGCAAAATTCTGGATTAAACTGGACGTAAATCGACTATGTTGAGTCGACTATAAAAGAAACATAGTTAATTTACGTAAATTGTCACATTATAACAATACTAAAATCGATGGTGGGGGCCGTAGATGAGGTGGTGGAGGTTTTTGATGCCGCGACGGTGGTGCATCGATGGCGGTGGAGGTGTCATGTCCAGGCTCCTCGTCGACGGTGGAGATCTTTTTATGTCCAGACAGTGGTGCCTCAGTTGTGGTGCCTTGAAGATCTAGAATGAAGAGGAGTGTAGTATTAGAACTAATCAAAGAGTGGGACTTAGAAGAAAAATGATGTTAGGCGTGTTTCGCATAACCCAATCCACGTGATTTGACTTACCTTGATAATTAATTAGTGTGGAGACGTGGAATTAGTGATTAATTAATCATCATTAATCCTAATGACTAGGAATTAATCTGTCTTATCACAATGGCAGTCAAATTGGCTGGTGAGTGTTGTCCCCATAATATGTAGTTAACTTTGTCAAAAAAAAAAAAAAAACTTTGTCATTTTGGAGTGGCTTGTGTCCTCCTAGACACACAGTCAGCAGCCACTAGTTATGTATTTATTTTTTTCAAATTTTACTTGGAAAGATAAGTTCATCGATTCATTTATAATATGTATATTTATAAACATATATAATAATGACTTTTAGTGATTGATTAAGTACAACTAATCATATGGATTAGGAGTATCAAATTTAATTGATCCATTATAAAACACAATTTTTTAATTGATCATTTTAATTATTAATTAATCGCACTTACAGTTCAACGTTGAGAAGTGGCATTCCTCTTGCCATTTAAGCTAAATTTCATTGATCAATATTAATTTATCGATATAACAACCCGAATATTCGGAGTTGCCAGTTGGTGATACAGTGATAGCATATTATATAATAAATATAAAATATAACTCCTTTATTAATGATTAAAGATTATAAATATATATATATTTATTTCCTCAATAATATGTTGAACTGAAGGGTGGGAGTTGGAACAGAAGTTCCAATTTCCGCCGATATCATATACAAAATTTTCATAATTTGGAACAATATTCTAATTTTGAATTTCGAAGATTTTGATTTCAATTTTTTCTCTATTGAAATTGAAATAGATTAAAGGTTCGGATTCCTGATTCAATTTCAAAAGTTTCCATCTTTCATGTATTTTGCATTTTAGGTCACTAAAAATTTATAAAAGGAAAAAACAATTAATTCCGTCAATTTTGATCCGAAGTTTTTAAATTTTGGAATCCAATTTCTAAAATATCGAGTTTCATATTTGAAATATTTTAAACGGAATTTGAATAAGCTTCTTTTGGGAAAACCTTGGAAAAAAAAAGTGCTACTTTTAATCTAATATAATTGTATGAAACTATGTTAGTTATGGATATAGGTACTTTGCTATAAAAATATTAAAGTTTGAATTCTATGATTTTTATCCTACGATTATGCAATAACTATCATTTTAGTAATTACGATATTCAATGTAATGAATTATGTTTATCTAATTATGAATTTAAAATAAATAAATAAGTACATAATTTCGTGATTTACTTATACTCCATCTTTTCTATAATAGTTGTCTCTTAGTAAACAAATTTTTTTTATATTATTTGTCACTTTAGATTTTTAATAGTGTATAAAAAACATTTTTTTCGTTATTTTAACCTTATTAATTCAACTATAATTATTAACTCTCTCGTATCATATCATTAAATAATCAATTTTATTTTAGTATTTCTAATATGTGTTTGCCTAAAAACAAGATAATTTTTTGAAATTCTTAATACTTGCGCAAAGATAAATACGCGAGTTGGTATTTTATTTTTTTTGTCCTCTCACTATATAATTTATGATGAATAGAATATTTTCAAATTCTGCAGAAAATGAGAGTCGATATGTTTGTCAAATAAATGGGCTTAAAGAAAAGCCCAACTAGAAAGAAAGATGTGGAAAAATGCCCATGCCCTTATAAATTGCCTTTATACCTTTCTAATTATATTAATTCTTTTATTATAATAATTATCCTTTTCTTTTTCTTTATTTATTTATTTATTTTTTATATAAATTCCACCGCATGGAAGAATAAACGAATTCCAACAAAGATTTGGATCTCTAAATTGTCATACTCTTGCTAAATAATTATTATTTTTATATTAGTAGAAACCAATATAAAATGTTTTGAAATTAATTTAATATATTGTATTCACACAAATCTCTATAAAAGGTTGATAATGTGCAGAAAAAAGCTAATCTCCTGCTTTATTTTTGTATTGTGTATGATGATTAAGCAGGCTGAAAGTGGATATGCTATATATTATGTATGTTACACATATAACAAGATGCACTTTTAATAAAAGTAATTAATAAATAATTGATATTAATGAATTGTTGAAATTGTGCATAATTAGTGGTGTGGATTAACTGTAGGGAATTATAGGGGTTCTTAATGTAGCTTTACATTGTTATTATGTCGAATTTTTATTTTAATGTTACGAAACTAATCGAGCTTAACGAACGTACGATATTTCAGTATTTTTTAATTTTTATTCAGTTTTGTAAAAAAATGTTCGAGGATAGTTTGACTAACACAACATAGTGAACTTCGAACGAGATTTGATCGAATCAGACATGAATCGAGCTCGAGTAACTTGATTTTTTCACTTGGAGAAAACTCTGAATCCACTTTTTGGTTTTGAGTTTGTATGCAATTTGTTGCGAAGTTGCAAAAAAAATACATTTTCATCATAGTCGTGTCTAGATATATATAGTGTTTTTTTTTTTTTTTTTTTTTTTTTGTTTAGCAAAGTCTATTTATATGTTTTTTATTTTAAATATTTTTGAAATGACCTTGAACTTTAGTATATAATTTTTGAAAAAACAATTATATTTTCAAAATTTCCTAATGAAAATGTAGTAACAAATTAATTGAATGGTCAAATCTAGAAACCAGAAAAGTCCAAAATAAAAAAAACATAAAAAGGAGAAGAGATGAGTCATAAATCATAATTAGATTAGATTTGGTAACCTTGGAATTAAAAAGGGCATTGTCAAGTCTAACCTCAGTAGACTATCAAATGGAACAAAACAAAACAGAACATACTCACCCTAATAAATAAAAAATAAAATAAAAAATACAGTCATATTATATTTAGATAAATTACGAAAATTTCCCTAAACTTAGGCTAAGTTACAAAAAAAACCTATCTATCTGTAATTATCAATATCCCGACGCTTGTTTTTATCTTACTCCGACCCATTACGTGCAATTTTTCACAGAATATTTTTTACTACAGTGAATTTCTGCACAAAAATGCCGATTGTAGCCCTACAAATGTGACATTTATTTGTGTTACTTTTGAAAAGACAAATTACTCTTAGGAGGCCTTTACACCGAATCTTTATTCTTCTTAAATAACACATTCGCAACTTTTTTGTAGTATATCATTACTCATCAGAGGGTAATTTTTGTTTTAAAAAAGTAGCACAAGGAAATGTCATGTCTGTTGGGGGTAAAATTGGTATTTTTTGGAAAATATTCTCTGGAATCGTAAAGTTGTGAAATATCACACCGTAAGAGGGTCGATGTAAGGCCGAAACAAACATCAAGGGTAATTTGCTAATCACTGATAAATGGGGTGTTTTCATAATTTAATCTAAGTTAAGAGGATTTTTGTAATTTACCCTAATATTTTTCGGGTTTTTCTTCCTCGAACAAATACCCAAAAACCATGTTAGTTTCTCTTACATTATCAATTTATTCAAATTTCTTGTCTGTCCCTCTAAAATTCTGGGCTTGTAACAACTCACTCACTCACTCTCTGACATCTCTCTGTCAGCACCACCTGATTCTTTCCACTCACTTTCTCTCACACACACACATTGAGAAAAAACCACACACACAACACACATTACAGTCAAAAAACAAGAAAGTGGAATCAAGTGAGTAAAGAAAAAAGAAAGAAAGAGGAAAGTGAACCCCACAGGTAAACATTATTGTGTAATAGGGGCATGGATAAGAACTGGTAAAGCAAATTCTAATCATTAGAAAGAAGTTGATGTGAAAAAAAAAAACACACACACACACACACATAGTACTGTGTGTGTTTAAGTGGGATTTGATCACACAGAAAAGGCAGTAAAATTAAACAAGTTTTGCCAAAAAGAAAGAAAGTAAAAAAGGGACTGTAAAAAACAAAGAACTGCATGCCTACATCCATCAGTCTCTCTTTTTAGTACAAAAGAAGCACTACCCTATAAACACTCCCATGGCTGGGGCGCTGTGTTGGTTTTATCGGCCAATCGATCCACTTTCGACCTATTTTTTTTGTTGATAATGTTGTTGTTGGGCCGATAATTTTAACCGACTCATATATAAATGGGTCGGTCAGTGATTTTCAGTTTACTGAAAAGTTGATTGGTCGGATAATATCAGCCAACCAACTTTTTTAATAATAAAAATTTATTATATAAATTAAATTCTAATTCTTATTTTACTAATGTTGAAATAATATATAAAAGAAGTCAAAACTCGAAACACAATTTTATAAACATCTACTATTTCTATTTTAAAATTCTTAATTCATTTTCTTCATTATATATGTACTTATTATAGAAGTTTAATAAAAATAGACTTGTAATTTTAAAGTTAAGATTTTTGCAATATAAGTTTTTCCGAAATTTTAAGTATCTTTATAAAAAACTTTTAAGAACATCTTACTATTTAAAAAAAAAAATATGAATAAATAGATGACCGATAATATCTCCAACCGACCCATTGTTTATCCGACAAAGTCGGTTGTCAACCATTATCCAACCCATAATGGTCGGGTCGATAATAATCAATATTCAACTAAATTGGGTGATCGGTCGGGTAGGTAATTGACCGATAATTACCCGACCGATCCATGCCCAACCCTACACACTCATGTACGATTCATCTTTTTTATTTATTTTTGGGTAAATTACGGCCACTTCATAAGGTAAGGTCTAATGTCAAAAAACCTATCATGTTTGGATAATTACAACCAGCCCCATCAACAATGAATCTTCTTACACGTCCACTCTTATGGTGTCAAATTCAACATAATCTTCTAGATTCCGTAGAATGTTCTCTAGTTTGTATTCATTTTGCGCAAAAACACAGTTTCTGATGCACCGCAATCTGATTTATACAAGCCAATAGAAACATCTTATGACCATCTTGTTTTAAAATGTGGAGCTTAATTTGAGTAAAACGGGTACAAATTGAAGAATATTCCTCATAATCTAGAAGATTTCACTAAATTTGACGTGTAAAAGGATTCATAGTTCATTGATGGTTGTAATTACACAAACACTAAGATTTTTTTTCGTAATTTGACCGTACATTAGAAGGTGGCCTTAATTTACCTTTATTTGTTTCAAAATCACTTTGTTTTTGTATATTTAAGTTTTCACCCCCACAATAAAAAGAAAAAGGGCTTGAGAAATAAAAGCAAAAGTGGTCTAAAATTACTCAACAAAAGTAATGGTAGCTTTGTCTAAAGTCTAGAGAGAGATTAAGAGAGAGAGAGAGAGAGAGAGAGAGAGAGAGAGAGAGAGAGAGAGAGAGAGAGAGAGAGAGAGAGAGAGCACAACACACTACATACATGATACATATGGTTGTTTTCGTGCACTCGTGTTTTTCTAAATGATCATGTCTCTCTATTCAAAAAACTCCCTCCTTCTTCTTCTTCTTTGCTTTCTTATTAATACATTTCTCTTCAATCTTTGCCTTTCCTTTGAAGCCCGAAATCCTGAAGGTATTACAAAAAACAAAAAAGAAAACTCCATTGTTTCTTACATGAACTTGATTTTCTTTTTTCTCTGTAATAATAAGCATTTCATTATTTTTTTTTTCATGTAGTGGAAGCTCTAACTGCAATAAAAGAAGGTTTGAACGATCCACGTGGCGCTCTGAGCAACTGGGATGAAGACTCTGTTGACCCTTGTAGCTGGTCCATGATCACTTGCAATTCTGATAATCTTGTTACTTCCTTGTCAGTTTTCTTCTCTCTTAATTCTAATAAAATAATTATTAATTAATTTTTTTTATTTAATTTTTTGTAATTTCTTGATTTTTGGTCAACAGAGGAGCTCCTAGTCAAGGTCTATCAGGTTCTTTGTCTTGGATGATTGCAAACCTCACTAACCTCAAACAACTGTAAGAAAAAAAAAATAAAAAAAAAAAAAAAAATTGGATTTTTACACACATTACACACACTACAGGCACAAAGATTGGATTTTTATTTCATTTTTATGAATGTTTTCACTGCAGATTATTACAGAACAACAATATTTCTGGGCATATTCCAAAAGAAATAGGGTACCTACACAATCTTCAAACATTGGATCTGTCCAACAACAAGTTATCTGGGCATATTCCTCACTCTTTGGGTTTTTTGGACCATTTAAAATATTTGTGAGTTAAAAAACAAATCTTTTTTTTTTTGTTTTGGGTTCATGCTTGTTGCATGTTAGGCTGAATATAAAGTGACATAATCCATTAGTTTGACTTAGTATTGTACAGTTGTTGATTTTGTTGTTGTAATAATATAATTTCAGGAGGGTGAATAACAATAGTTTTAGTGGGGCTGTTCCTCTGCCCTTGGCCACTCTTCCTCAACTTACTTTCTTGTGAGTATTTTTCTCTCTCTCACTATATTTTCTTTCTTTCTTTATTTTTTTTTGAATTTTAATAGGGTTTTTTTTTTTTTAATTAGATGGAGGATTTTTTTCAACATGAGAATTATGGGATTTTTTTTTTTTTTTTTTTAATATTTATATTTATATATATTGTTTTTGGGATATTTCAGGGATTTGTCCTACAACAACCTCAGTGGACCTGTTCCCAATTTTCCTACCAAGACATTTAAGTATGGCTTCTCTGCATTATTATAGTAATTATTATATCACAGTTTTTATTATATATACTAGTTACTACAATTATGTACACATCTGGAAATTTGAACAGAATTTTCGATTTCCGATGATCCAAAAATTTTCAATTTCATAATAATACTGTATTTTTCTTTCCGATTTCTCCAGTTTTTGTCGGTAGAAATTGATATATATGTGTGAGATTCCGATTTCCGATCCAATATTAATATTTCCGAAAATTAAATTTATAGTATCAAAATTATATGTATTTATACTATAGGTGAATGAAAAATAATGAAATTTCGATGTTCCCACGACTAAACCAAAAAAAAAAAAATCGATTTTGAAACAAGTTTCTTTATTACATTTTTTTCCGATCTTTTTTAGGACATTCGAATTAGTTTTGTGAAAGTACTAATTCTGATCCGCTCTCGTAAGATTTCCACTGCTGTGAGTATGTACATGTACATTTATGTGTTTGTTGTCATTTATTTATTTTGATATATGCTTTAATATATTCATCAGTTATTATTTTTTTAATTAATTTAATATGTTATTGCAGTATCTTTGGTAATCCTCTAATTTGTGGAAGCCACTCTAGTGAAAAATGTTCTGAATCAATCCTGGCTAGTCCTCTTGCATTCTCAATAAATCAATCTTCTGGTAACTTCTTGCAATTATTATTTTATTTATTAATTTGCTCATTTTATTTATTTATTTATTTATTTTCTTATAAATTCAGGAAAAACAAAGACCAAGAAATTAGCAACTGCACTAGGGCTAACACTCACCTTTGTCTCTATCTTAGTCTTAGCATTAGCATTTCTGTTACAAAGAAGAAACAACAACAGAAAACAGTCCATTCTTAATATTACAGGTCTTGTAATTAACCACTAATCACTATCTTAATCACTATCTTAATCACATCTTAATCAATGTCTTAAAAGTTAAAACCACCATCATCTCTCTTTTATCGCAGATATTCAAGAAGAGGATTTAATAAAATTAGGAAACCTAAGAAGCTTCACCATAAAGGAGCTACGCGGCGCCACGGACAATTTCAGCTCCAAGAACATACTCGGTGCGGGCGGATTCGGCAATGTCTACAAAGGCAAACTCGAAGACGGCACAATAATTGCCGTGAAACGTCTCAAGGATTTAACGGGACCCACGGGAATATTGCAGTTTCGAACCGAATTAGAAATGATTAGCCTAGCGATTCATCGTAATTTGCTTCGCATTGTCGGATACTGCGCCGCCACGAACGAGAGGATCCTCGTTTATCCGTACATGCCTAATGGAAGTGTCGCGTCGAGGCTTAGAGGTAGCTTCCACGTCTAGCTTTCTTGAATTCTTACTTGTTGTTACTTATGATATATTACGTAATTTATTTATTTTTATTTTAAAAGGAAAACCGGGTCTAGATTGGAACACGAGGAAGAGAATTGCGATAGGGGCCGCGAGGGGTTTGCTTTATCTGCACGAGCAATGCGATCCGAAGATAATCCATAGAGATGTTAAGGCGGCGAATATTCTATTGGACGATTATTTCGAGGCCATTGTTGGCGATTTTGGCCTTGCGAAATTACTCGATCATGCGGAATCTCATGTTACGACAGCTGTTCGTGGGACCGTGGGACACATTGCGCCGGAGTACCTTTCGACCGGCCAATCATCCGAAAAAACCGATGTGTTCGGGTTCGGTATTCTTCTCCTTGAGCTCATAACTGGGATGAGAGCTCTCGAGTTTGGAAAATCAATGAATCAAAAAGGAGCCGTGCTCGAACGGGTATGTGTATGTCTCGTTTGGTCGATTTTATTAATATTTATTTATAATAGCTTTCGATGTTGATTCTAATCAACTGAATTATTGAACAATATATAAATAATTTACTAAAAAATGTATAACCATGTGTAGACGCACGTGTCACTTACTAGTACTGGTACGAATTTAGATATGTGTGATAATTAAGTTGATGAAAACATGTAACTTCTCACCAAAATTTAAACGAGCTTATTTTCATTCAGTACCCCTGTGTTATACTGAATTGCTAAAAAAATTGTCGTGTAACTAATGTTAGCATTGAAAAACCTTATGATACATTTTTTTTAGCACACGTGGTTTGCTAATAAAATTGTATCATTGGGGGGATCTTGCTAATTTTTTTAGAGTAAACATATGGGTGTTAAATGCAATAAATCCAAACTTTTGAAAGCCATAAACCGTTGTTTTTTTTTTTTTCAATTTAATTTCCAGGTAAAGAAGATACAACGAGAAAAGAATATCGAATCGTTGGTGGATGTAGAATTGGGAGTCAACTATGACAAGATTGATGTTGGGGAGATGATACAAGTGGCTCTTCTTTGTACGCAATACCAACCGGCCCACCGCCCCAAAATGTCCGATGTTGTTAGGATGCTCGAAGGCGACGGGCTTGCCGAAAAATGGGCCGCTTCACATAACTACATACACACAACTTCGAATCATATCTCCCGCGAAAATAGCAAGTCGCAATCGAGCTTGTTTGGGATGGCGATGAACGCGGATGATGACTATGATGCTCATTGCATGGAGCTTTCTGGTCCAAGATAATTCAAAAACGATTCGCGTTGGGGAAGAAGAATCGGAAGAGAGTCAAAGTACGTAGGCCTAAACCTCATTCTTGTGATGTACATAACTACATGTCCTTTGTTGTTGTTGTTGTCGTCGTTTTTTTTTCTTTTGTTTGATAAGGCTAGCTTCTCGTTTTTTTTATGAACTTACACTTTTACTGCGCTTACTTATTCACTCCGATGTTGGGAACTTCATGAATTTCTTTGACGATATTCATGGATTAAAGAAAAAAGTATAGAAAATCACTATAAATGTTTTTGTGTGAGTAATTGCTTTAAAATTAACTATAATTCAATTGATTAAGACTGATATGAATCGGATTTCTAAACTGCTAGTTCCCCATTTAAATGCCTCGAAATCATAAATGGTTGAGATTAGTGTTGAACTTCATGCTATAAATATTATAACCAATTACATGCACATTTCACCCCATGTATAAATATTGAACATATGAATATACTACCTGTGATTTATTTTTAATATAAGTAAAAAAAAAATTCCTATCTTCTTCTTCTTTCCTAGTCCAAGTACATGGGATGAGGCGTGAACGATATGGCCAGACCGAGTCTCTTGCGGTGGTGGCGGCGGAGGTTGCAGTTGCACTCGCTAAGGGTTGCGGAAGTAGCAAAGAAGGCTACTGTTATGATTTATGAAACTTTGATTGTGCTGTATGAAATTAGAATTAAACACACACAGCAAACACACACATGCAGCTTGCAAAATAATAAAGAAGAACAAGAGGATTTACGAGGTTCAATCTCAATGTGAGATTCCGGGAGCAATACAAGCTCCAATTCACTATAACACCAGATCAATACAGATACAATATCATAGTAGATAATCTCAGCTGAAATCAAGCATGAGATCTGCCAGAAACCCTAAACCCCTCTCACAAGAATTTCCCTCTGCTCACAGTGTATCCCGTATCTCCTCTGCCTCAGCTCAATGTATATATGTGGTATAAATAGAGAACTTTCTCTCCAAGTAATACACAAGAGCCATACATTTATTCCACCAAGCAATGTTGGAACTTATTGAATGTTAAAGGTTTAGTTAAGGAATCAGCTGGATTTTCTTCAGAAGCTACCTTCACAGCTTTAACCTTCCCAGCCTCTATAACCTGTCTGATAAAGTGCAACTTTATCTCTATATGTTTAGTTCTCTCATGAAACATGGGATTTCTCATGAGGAACAAGGCACTCTGACTATCACAATGCAATGTGATTTCTCTCACCTTCCCAGACAGTTCTTCAAAGAAACCTCTCAACCATAGTCCTTCCTTTACTGCTTCAGTTGCAGCAATATATTCTGCTTCTGTAGTAGAAAGTGCAACCACTTTCTGAAGTGATGACTTCCAACTTATAGGTCCTCCATAAGATGTATATATGTATCCTGACAAGGACTTCCTTGTGTCCAAACACCCTGCATAATCAGAGTCAACATATCCATTCACCACATGAGTAGCATCTACTCTCCTCTTATACAGAAGTCCAACTCCTTTAGATCCTTTTAGATACTTCAGTAGACTTTTCAAGGCAAACCAATGTTCTTTCCCTGGTTCAGCCATAAATCTACTTAAGATGCTTAAAGCATAAGCCAAATCAGGCCTAGTAGAAATCATACAATACATGATACTGCCCACAATATTTGCATATGGAATCTCCTTCACGTATTCCTTTTCTTCAGTAGAGTTAGGCCTTTGGTTTATGCTCAACGTGTAGTGAGGAGCTAAAGGTGTTAACACAGGTTTTGCTTCAGCCATTCCATACTTGGTCAAAACCTTCTCCAAGTAATCTTTATGAGATAAGAATATCTGATTCAGCTTTCTATTCCTCAGAATATCAATACCAAGGATTCTACTAGCCTTCCCCATATCCTTCATTTCAAATTCTCCCTTTAGCTTGGCTTTCAGACTTGTAATTTCACTTGGCTTCTTACCAATGATCAACATATCATCTACATAAAGAAGCAACAAAATTTGACCCTCACCTCTTTTTCCATTTTGATACACACAGTAATCATAACTGTTTTTCTCAAAATGAATGGAGTGCATAAACATATCAAACCCCTTATACCATTGCCTTGGTGACTGTTTCAGACCATATAAAGACTTGTTTAATAAGCATACCATGTCTTCACCTCCAATGTGAAAACCTTCAGGCTGCCTCATATATATAGTATCTTCCAACTCTCCATGCAAAAAAGTTGTTGTCACATCCATTTGCTCAAGTTCAAGATCAAATTGGGCAACTAGAGACAATGCAATCCTTATAGAGGTCTGTTTGACAACTGGTGAAAATATTTCATTGAAATCTATGCCCTCTCTCTAAGTAAAGCCTTTTGCAACAAGCCTTGCTTTAAATCTTAGCTTTTCAACTCCTGGTATTCCAGTTTTCAACAATCCATTTGCAACCAACCAGTTTTTGATCTTTTGGTTTACAAACAATGCTCCAGGTAGAATTCTTCTTTAAAGATTGCATCTTATCTTCCATAGCTCTTATCCACATGTTTTTTTGTTCACATGCAATGGCTTCCTTGAATGATGCTGGTTCTCTTCCACAGTTTTTATTTTCAACAGTCAGAGCATAGGCAATAATATCAGCATATCCTAGCCTCTTAGGAGCTCTCTTTTCTCTTCTGGTTCTATATCTGGCCAGTTGATAGTCTTGAAGATCTGTGGATTCATCTGCTTGTCTCTCCTCAGAAGTCTCTTCAGAAGCTTCTTCTGAGTTTGTAGTATTATCTAAATTATCATCAACAGGATTTATCACATCATCTTCAAGCTCCACCTCAAACTGTGTCTTATTCTGACATGATTCACCAGAAGACAACTCCATAGTTTTCAGTGGCATCATTTTTTCATTGAATGTGACATCTCTGCTCACAATGCACTTCTGTTTCCCAGCTTCAATACACCATAGTTTGTAACCCTTCACTCCTTCACGATATCCCAAGAAAATGCACTTCAGTGCTCTAGCTTCAAGTTTGTCTTGTCTTAAGTGTGCATATGCAGCACAACCAAACACCTTTAAATGGTCATATGAAGGTGGTTTTCCAGTCCATATTTCCTGAGGTGTCTTGAAGTTCAGAGTTGATGATGGACTTCTGTTAATAATGTGGCATGCAGTTTTTACAGCCTATCCCCACAATTTCTTAGAGCAACCAGAACTAAGAAGCATACATCTCACCTTCTCAAGAATGGTTCTATTCATCCTTTCTGCTAAACCATTCTGTTGTGGGGTTCCTCTAACAGTTCCGTGTCTTGTGATTCCACTATCATCACAGAATTTGTTAAAGACTGATGACACAAACTCCAATCCATTATCAGTCCTTAAGTGTTTTATTTTCATTCCTGACTGAGTCTCCACCTTTTGTTTCCAGGTTTTAAACACTGGAAATGCTTCATCCTTTGTCTTTAAGATATGGACCCACAACTTCCTTGACCTATCATCAATTAAGGTCAAGAAATATCTGCAACCTCCCATGGTCTGGACCCCACATATCTGAGTGTATATAGCTCAGATTGTCATGAGTTGAGTGTTGTGCTTTTCCAAATTTTACTCTCTTGGCTTTCCCAAGAATACAGTTCTCACAGAACTTTAGTTCTTCAAAGTCATTTGCTTCAAGAAGTTTCTGTTTGACCAGTTCTTGGAGTCCTCTTTCACTCATGTGTGTCAACCTTATGTGCCAAAGTGAGGTTTTGTCTTGAACTGTTACATTTGCTGTATCAACAGCTATGGTTCCATCTAATATGTAAATTCCATTTCTCAGTAAACCTTTCATGACCACTAGAGCACCCCTCAAGATTCTCATAACTCCATTTTTTGCTCTCATCTCATATCCTGCTTGATCAAGCATACCAATAGAAATGAGATTCCTCTTAAGAGTAGGAACATATCTCATTCCATTTACTTGTTTTTTCTGTCCAGAGGCTAGTTTCAGATTAACAGCTCCAATCCCAAGAATTTTGCATGCTTTATCATCTCCCAAAAGCATCATACCCTTCTCAGATTCCTTGAGCTCCTGAAACCACTCCTTGTTGGGAGTCATATGGAATGAACATCCAGAGTCCAACACCCACTCTCCAGCAGAATTAAGGTGTGATGCTACCAGTGCCTCAGGTGAATCAGAGTATGAGGCAAACAACACCTCAGCAGAGTCATATCCATCTGATACAATGGATGCATCTCCTTTGTCACCTTGGTTTGAGTCACTCTTATACTTCTGAGTTCTCTCAGGGCAGAATCTTCTAATATGTCATTCCTTCTTGCACTTATGACATCTTCTGGTGTCCTTTCCATGTGGTCTTGACTTTGATCTAGACTTTCCTCTATTCTTCTTAAACTCCTTCTTGTCAGGCCTTCCTCTTACATTAAGCCCCTCACCACTTCCATTTGAGCTTGATTCATTTCTCTTCTGAAGCTCTTTTGAATTTAGTACAGATTTTACTTCTGTCATTGTGAGAGTATCATTTCCATAGAGCATAGTATCTACTATATGCTCATAATCCTTTGGAAGTGAGCTTAATAGGATAATGGCCTGATCCTCCTCTTCAATTTTGACTCCAACAGCATGTAGGTTTAGTATAATCCTATTATACTCATCTAGATGCTTCCTGACTTCCTGAATTGTCTCCATTTGAAGAGTATAGAGTTTCTATTTCAGATACAACCTGTTAGCTAGGGATTTCTTCATGTATATAGACTCAAGTTTTTCCCATATAGCTAGAGCTGTTGTTTCTTCAGAGACTTCACGAAGTACTTCATCACCTAGACTTAAGATCAGTGCACTATGTGCCTTAGATTGTATCTCTGGTACTGTTTTCTTATCATCTAATTTAGATAATAACTTTGCATCTAGGGCAGCAGAAAGTCCTTGATGAACCAATAAGGCTTTCATCTTGATTCTCCAGAGAGTAAAATCATTATCACCATTGAATTTTTCAAATTCAAACTTAGAATTACTCATCTTCAATAGATCTAAGTCAGGGGTGTACCTCTTCCAATTTCAGCTGCAGATCTGACTTTGTGTTGTTTGAATTAACCAGCTCCACTTCGATCCACGCTCACCTCACCACTTGTTATGATTTATGAAACTTTAATTGTGCTGTATGAAATTAGAATTAAACACACACAGCAAACACACACATGCAGCTTGCAAAATAATAAAGAAGAACAAGAGGATTTACGAGGTTCAATCTCAATGTGACATCTACATCCCCGGGAGCAATACAAGCTCCAATTCACTATAACACCAGATCAATAC